GGCGGGGGACGGGGGGCTGGGTCCGGACCAGCTGCGCCCCCAGAGGTAAGGGGGCAGGCTCCGGAGGAGCGCCGAAGACGCACTTTCCTCGCCAGCGTCATTCCGCTCTCTCCATCGCCTGCGCCGCCAGGCCCGGGGAGGCTGGCAGCGCTCACCTGGAGCAGTCGTAGCGCCCCGAACCGTGGTCGGTACCCATACCCAGGCGCCGAGCCTAGGCAGACGCCGTCTGTTTACGGAGAGGCTGACCACCACTGCCAGCCTCTAACAGCGCCGGCACACGCGCGCCCCCGTCCCATCCCCACTCTGCTTTTCCCAAAGACCCCTGGAATGTTTCCCTTCCGTCTCGCTCTTACCCCTCCTCCCCCCAGCTCGGACCCCCTGTGGGCAGGGACGTTGTTTTGTCCACTGGCAACTGTCCCTGGCACACAGCTGGCTCGAGGAAATATTTTCAAAAGTAACACATTCGGAGCCACCCTGGGGGACAGCCACCGTTTCAGGGGACAGCCACATTACAGATAAGGGTAGGAGGCAGCGGTCATGCCCAGGGCCACATCCCCAAACGGGTTGCATGCTGCAGTTCTGTCTCCTGACCCTTGTTGGTGTGGCCTGGAGCGGGCAGCATGGCCAGTGTGCTGGGGCAGGGGACTCCTGTGTGTGCTGAGCCAAAAGCAAGGGCGACAGCCCTGGCCACAGACCATCTGGCCGGGAAACAGCGGGATAAGAGGCAGCTGCTTGCAGCTCAGTCAGCACCGGTACCAGAGGTGGATTGCTGTGTGCAGCAGCTGCTTCGTGCCTCCCCTCCTTCGGGTCTGACAGCCCGACAACCTCCAACCTGGGCAGCCTGCTACTTCCTGCTGCTTGCCGAGCCCAGCGTCTGCCCGCTGAGTGGTCTCCTAAGATACTAGAGGGGGGCTGCTCTCCACACTACAGCTCAGCAGTGCAGTCAGGGGTCTCCCAGAGGCAGATCAACCCACCCCGCCCTCTGTCTCAGAGCAGGGTCACCCACAAAATCTGAGAGGTTGGAGAGGAGAGCGCGGCCTCTTTCCAAATGGGCTTCCTTAGGAAGCTGCCATCCCAGTCTGGCAAAAATCTCAGCAAGACAGTTCTGTCCAAAGGGCTCCTTGGGGAGTTGTGCCTGGAACTGACCAGCAGGTCAGGCTGAGCCTGGTACCCTCCCTGGTACCCTGCGGCACCCTCCCTGGTTCCCTGCGGCACCCACCCCTACTCTGGCCTGATCCTGAATGGATTGGGCCCCTTCAGGGTTGGATGGGTTGGGGGAAGAAAGAATCTGTAGTTTCCTAGCAGGCTAAGGACCAGGAGCTGAGGAAAAGCTGGATTGGGTAGGGGGATGGCTAGTAACAGGGTCTGTGCCCAGCCTGGCACCCCCCCCTCCCCCCTTGAGCTAGGGCACTGGATTGATCTGTTCACAGCCCTGGACACCACTGTCTTCCCCTGGAGAGCCAGCTTGTGAGAATCCGCTTGGCTTCTCTCTTCCTCACTGTCTGCAGAGGCAGAACCTGCTCTTGTCTCGCCAGCCTCCCACCTCCTTTCTCCTCTCCTGCCCCTCTTCCTGCCTCTTCTTGCTTTCCATCCCTCTGTCCTTGCCCCCTGGTTTGCCTTCCTGACTTCCCACTTCCGCTCCTCATCTGACTGAGATTAGAGGGTGGGTTCCCATCTCTTTTTCCCGGAACCAGCACGATGCTGGGCACACATCAAACTTTGCTTTCTCTTCCGAGGGTAAAACAGACACTAGGTAATGGACATGACAGGAAAGTTGCTTTTTGATCCCAAATCGGGAGCCGGGTGGTGTGACAGAAAGGAAGCCGTAGGGGCAAAGTGTAGGGTTGAGGAACCCCACATGGGGACCCTATGTCTCCTGGGATTGGAGGTCATGCCGGGGTGGACCCATTGGGGCATCAGTGAGAGCACCTACACCCTCCTCCCCCCAGGACTCCTGAAGGTAAGTGGGGGCAGACCCAGGATGCAGCAGTGTCACTAGGGAGGTATGGGAGGAGGAGGCAGATGGCTCCAGATGACACTGTTAGGGGGTTACACTAAAATGACTGTGTGCTGTGTTTCAGTAGACATGCATTAGTTTTTTAAAAACATCCCTGCCATTGACAAGGGAACAACAAGAGATCTAAAATGAATGCGGGGAGGGCTTAGAATGCCTGGTGGGGTTGGATGAAGTAGAATGTAGCCGAGAGGAAGTACAGAGAGCTGAATGAAGGGCAAACATGAGAGTGGGACAGGAGGAAAGTGAAAAGAAACACAGGAAAGAACTAGGAGGTAAAAGGCATGTATAGAAGTATACACATAGGCATGTACATATGTAAACATATTAATATATAACAATAGGGACATACATCTATGTACATATATTTATAGGTTAAGTATTAAAGTAGCAGATGGACATTGGGCCTCCACTCAAGTACTCCCACAACGTAAGAACACTCTGTTCTGATAATGTCATTCTGTGATGCTCACCTTCCCAATACAATCGCTGAAGATAAAATGGGTGCATAAGCAAATGTGGTGAAGAAAGCTGATGGTGCCCAGCTACTAGAAGATACAGCATCTGGGGTCTTGAAGTTAAACAAGTGGCCATCTGGGAGGGAAGCAACAAAGCCCACATGAAAGAAGCACACCAACCCATGTGATCACGAGGTGTCAGGAATCAGATATCAGAAGACCTGACATAAGCAACCATTTCGATATGAATGAGGGGGGTTGGAATGGAAACCCAAAGCCCATCTGTAGACAGTTGGACATTCCCTCACAGAAGGATCACAAGGAAGGGATGAGCCAGTCTGGGTGCAGTATAGCCCTGATGAAATACGCAACAGTTCTCTAGTTCTTTAATGCCCCCTCCCCGCCCCCCTCATGACCCCAGTTTAACCTCACAAATCCAGCTAGACCAGATCATGTACACTGGTACAGAGAAGAGCTCTTGAAACATAGAATCCTGGTCAGATAAATCCCTCAGGACCAATAATGAGAGTAGTGATACCATGAAGGTAGGAGGGAAGTGGGGGGAGAAAGGAGGAACCAATCACAATGATCAACGTACACCCTCCGCAGGGGGATGAACAACAGAAACATGGGTGAAGGGAGACAGTGGAAGGTGTAGAATATGAAAATAAAAATAATTTATAAATTATCAAGGGTTCATGAGAGTGGGAGGGTGGGGCAAGGAGGGAAAAAAGAGGAGCTGATAACAAGGGTTCAAGTAGAAAGAAAATGTTTTGGAAATGATGATGACAACTTATGTACAAATGTGCTCAATACAATTGATGTATGGATTGTTAAAAAAGCTGTAAGAGCTCCCAATAAAATGATTTATTTAAAAAATTGTTTAATGTTAAAAGACCATTTTCCTAAGTATCAATAGGTGGTGGTGGAGCTGCCCATGTGAATTTCTGGGACTGGAACTCTTTTTTTTTATAAATCATTTTATTGGGGGCTCATACAACTCTTATCACATCCATACATACCCTCATCATTCTCAAAACATTTGCTCTCCACGTAAGCTCCTGGTTTCAGCTCCTCATTTTCCCCCTCCCTCCCCACTCCCCCCTCCCTCATCAGCCCTTGATAACTTATAAGTTATTATTTTGTCATATCTTACATGTCTGACATCTCCCTTCAGCCACTTTTCTGTTGTCCGTCCCCCAGGGAGGGAGTTATATATAAATCCTTGTAATCGGTTCTCCCTTTCCAACCCACCCTCCCTCCACCCTCCTGGTATCACCACTCTCACCACTGGTCCTGAAGGGATTATCCGCCCTGGATTCCCTGTGTTTCCAGTTCCTATCTGTACCAGTGTACATCCTCTGGTCTAGCCAGATTTGTAAGGTAGAATTGGGATCATGATAGTGGTGGGGAGGAAGCATTTAGGAACTAGAGGAAAGTTGTATGTTTCATCGTTGCTACACTGCGTCCTGACTGGCTTGTCTCCTCCCCGCAACCCTTCTGTAAGGGGATGTCCAGTGCCTACAGATGGGTCTTGGGTCCCCACTCCATACTCTCCGTCATTCACAATGATATGATTTTTGTTCTTTGATGCCTGATTACTGATCCCTTCGGCACCTGGTGATCACACAGGCTGGTGTGCTTCTTCCACGTGGGCTGTGTTGCTTCTGAGCTAGATGGCCGCTTGTTTACCTTCAAGCCTTTAAGACTCCAGACGCTATATCTTTTGATAGCCAGGCACCATCAGCTTTCGGCACCATCAGCTTTCTTCCCCACATTTGCTTATGCACCCATTTGTCTTCAGCAATTGTGTCGGGGAGGTGAGCATCACGGAATGCCGAGACTGGAACTCTTGATGAGAATAGAAAGCCTTTCTCCGGGAGAGCGGTTGATGGTGTCAAGCTACTGACTTGGCAGGTAGCAGCCTAATGCATAACCACGACAGCACCAGGGTTCCTTAAGTATCAAGAGACACGACTAAAGTTCTATGCTACTTTACTACTGCAACCTTCTCAGCCATCCTGGTGGCACTGCCAGGTAAGCATTGGGCTGCCAACCACAAGGCTGCTGGTTCAACCCCTGGTCTCCCGGAGGGAGGTCTCTGAGGCTCTCTGCTCCTGTGAAGCCCTGTGCAGGGTCGCCCTGATTTGGAATTGATGCCAGGGGCCTCGGTTTGGGTGTCAGTGCCATTTGGTCAGAGCTGTCAGAATGCATTACGCCGCTTTGAATCACATGGATTCTTTTGCATGCACGCTCGTAGTTGAAAGGTGTTGTTTTAAGTTTCTACTTCTTTATGCCACTGCACCATGAGCACATTCAGCAATACGTAGGAATCCCCGTTTACCTGGGGCATTGACACAGAAGCCCTTCCTGGGGGAGGGTGGTGTGGTGTGGTGTGGGGGGAGGTCCAGAGATAGGTGACACAAGATGGACCCGGCTCACGAATCCCTTCCAGGAACCCCTCCCAGACGGCGTGGTTGCACCGTGGTGTGGCACAATGCAAGGGGGCCTGGAAAGAAACCTCACTGCCCCCCTAATCTCCCTCCAGCACAGGAGGCTCTGGGGTCCCCGTCTCCTGGGAGACCATGCTTGTCAGGCCTGGCTGGTACCAGGCCCGTCCCTGCTGCTGCTCTCAGGTCCCCCAGCCCCCACATGACGAGGAAAGGGCGGCTCAGAGAGGTGAGGCAGGTTGCCCACAGCACACAGCATTCAGACCCAGTGCTCAGAAGTCAGTAGCGCCATCAGGACGCCCCAGCTAGGAGGGGGAGGGGAGTCCTGAGAGACCCAGGCTGAGCCTCCGGCTGGCCACTCTCTGGGAACCGTCTCTCCACCGAGCCACCCATTCCTCCATTGGCCCAGCTGTGTCCCTGAGCACACATGGGAGGGAATTGTCCCCGTGCCCTTGGGGACATCTGGCGAAGGATTTGTGTCTCTTCTCCTGGGTCGAGGCTGGGGCTGGGGGTGGCTGAACGACTCCAGGAAACATGAGGCATGGGGGCCTCTCAGTCTCCCTCCCCGGTCTACCTTCTCTTTATCCTAACTCATATCAGCCTGCTGTTTCCCAGATTGACAAAGGGCTGGAGACTGGGGGCTTGGGAAAGGGGTTATTAGCCTTATCAGTCATGGCCAGAAACCTGTGGGCCACGCTGTGGACTCCAGAGGCCCCGTCCTAGAACCTGCCGTGGCCCCCCACTGCCTGCAGGGCAGCGCCTCAGTCCATAGGTGTTGGAGACTGAGCCCAGGCTGGCTGTCGCCTGGCACTGCACCTCAGAACCTTTGCACACTCTATCCGTGCCACTGGAATGCCTTAACCTCACCCTCCCTAGTCCCCACCACTCTCCCTGCCTGCCCCTGGCCCCTGGTACTAGCTCAGCGGTTCTCAACCCGTGGGTTGCGACCCCTTTGGGGGTCGAACGACCCTCATACCAGTAGCAAAATGACACTGATGAAGTAGCAGCGAAAATAATTGTGTGGTTGGGGGTCACCACCACATGAGGAATTGTATGAAAGGGTCGTGGCCTTAGGAAGGTTGAGAACCACTCTACTAGCTGGTTCCCCCCCCTCCCCGTTTCTCCCCCCCTGGGGGCAGGGCGCAGCTCAGGTTATCTCTGTAGCTGGCACAGTTGTTCAGTGCGGGTGCTCCCCGCCCACACCCCATCAGTGAGGCTCCCTAGCTACAGCTCATGCCCACTCTTCCCTGCTTCGCCACCAGCTAACCTGGGATGCGGCTTTCTTTTTGTTTCCCTTTCAGGCCTGCCTTCTGCACCGCTCCAGGAGGGTAAGCCTCGGTCTTGCCATTTTGCCCTGGGCTGTGTCCCTAGAGCTTGGGTTGGTGCCTGGCAGACAGCCGGTGCCCAGGGAGGCCATGTTGAGCATCAGTGAATGAACGCAGCCACCTCTGACAGGGAGGCCCGGGTCTCACCTGCCTGGGGCCAGCCTCCTCCTCTCGCCCTCGGCAGCCTTCTTCCCGGTGGGCTGGAGCTGGCATCCTGGCGGCCATGCAGAGGGCTGGGGCAGGGGGCCGGAGGGCCTCCGACTGCGGCCCGGCTCCACACAGGCCCAGGTGCATCACCAAGTTCGCCCAGGTAGGTGGGCTGCCCTCTCGGGGTGCACTCTGGGGCCCAGTCGTGGGAGGCAAGCCCTGGAGTGGGGAAGCAATAGGTCAAGGATCTATACCCACCTTGACAGAGGGTTTGGTGTGTGTGTGTGTGTGTGTGTGTGTGTGCGCGCGCGCGCGCACAGATGAGGAGATAGGGCCACTGGGTGCAGAGACTCCACTGAGGTCACCTGCTGGGAAAGCCATAGACCCTGGGCTTGGGGGCTGGGCCCTGTCCCCATGCACAGCTTGCCTGACGAAGGAAGCAGTGTGTGTTGGGGGGGTGGTTCAGAAATTGGAGGAGGGGTGACAGGAGCCGTGGTCCTGCCTCCTGCCCATTTCACCCCCACTTGGAGCAGTATGTGGGCTCCTTCCCCGTGGACGACCTGGACCCCCAGGAGAGCGCGTGGCTGGTCCAGCAGCAGCTGTGGGCTCTGAAGGTAGGTGGCTCAGTTGCTGGGGCTCACTTCGCGGGAAGGTCTCTGTCTTGCGATGTCGGGTGGGGAACGACCCTCCGGGACCATGTGGTCCACCCTCTCCACCCCACCCTGGCCATGTAGAGATGGGTAGGCGCAGCCCTGGAGCTGCAGGACCTACACCATTGGGAGGAGGCCCAGCCAGGGCCCACCCCAAGGCACTCCCTTCTAGACACTTGACCCTCACAGTTGGAAGTCCCCAGCAGTGGTGGGAGAGATGGCCCGGAGGGTCCCCCAGGAGTCATGCATACTTCCCCAGCTCCTGGTGGGGCCACGGATGCACCAGGGCTCGGTCCCCTGGCAGGTGGGGTGGGGTTGGTCAAGTAGCTTAGGGAAGGGGCTTGAATTGGGGCAGGGTCTGGGAGGAAATGTTTGCCTTCCGGTCATCACCAGCTCTCTTCCTACCCAGGACTGTCCTCGACGCCGGGCGGTCATCCTGAAATTCAGCCTTCAGGGCCTCAAGATCTACAGCGGGGAGGGTGAGGTAGGAACCCGTGCGGGTGCAGGAGAAGGCCCATTCACATCCACCTGGTGCTGGCTACAGCTCAGCCCCAGCTTCCCCCAGCCATTCCCCCTCCCCACCCTCCCACCGGAGCCCAGAGCCAGGGCTGGGGCTTTGTGCTTTCTCTCTGTGAGGGCCTGTCTGCAGGCTTCTCCCCCATTTCACCCTCCAAACTCTAGGGCCATCCCCTGGACTGCTCCCCAGGAGCATGTGGCTTGGGCGTGGCCATGTGTCCGTGGGCTGCCTGTCTTTTTCAGGCTGGCCCAGCAGTAGTCAGTGGCTGGCTTCTGGTGGCAGTGGGAGGACGGCCTGATTCAAGTGCGAAACCACTGGGGGTTCCCCTCTCAGATGCCCATCCTTTAGCCTCTCTTTCCCTCCTGCTGCCCCCCAAGTTCAGTGCAGAGCAAGGAGCCCAAGCCCTGTAGCCACAGGAAAGAAAGGGGTTCATCTAAAGCAGGGTTGAACAGGTCCTGGGGGAGGGAGGGAGGGGTTCTTCACCCCAGGAGCCAGTGGACCCCAGGTTGGGCAGGTGGGTGAGCAGACTCTGGGGGGCTGCCAGCAGGCACAGGGCCAGCTGGGCTGGCAGACGAAGGCGGGTGGTGGGTTTGAAGGTGGTCGCTGTGTACTGCCCTCCACCCAGGTGCTCCTGATGGCACATGCCTTGAGACGCATATTCCACTCTACCTGGTGCCCGGCTGACTGCCAGTTTGCCTTCACTGCCCGAAACCCACGGAGCCCGGCCACCAAGCTCTTCTGCCACCTCTTTGTGGGCAGCCAGCCTGGAGAGGTATCTGGGTCTGAGACATGGGACCCCCAGGAGGAAGACTAGGTATCTGCCCTGAGCCTATCCTGGGCACGTGCCCTCCCCACATAGGCTCTCCTGGCAGCTCTACCCACTAAGTGCTCCCCAGAAGAGAGCTAGCATCTTCAGTGTCCCCTAGGACCCAGGGCAGGGCCCGGCCCTGCATGTGGACATTGGAGTGTCACCCTCCAGGCCTCTGCCCATGCTGTTCTCTGCCCTGAGTGCCTGCCTCTTCCTTATCCCCCATGGGGTGCCAGCTGGGCATATCCTTCAAGGCACAGCCCAGGTGTCCAAAGCCCATCCCTACCCACTCCTCTGGGTCATGACATGACATGAACGGCACTCCGTCACCAGCTGCCCCCAATCACAGACACTTGAGTTCTTTGAGAGCAGAGAGCACATCTTGCACGCAATTGGGTGGAGGCTGGCAGATAGGTCTTGGCAGCCCAGGCTAGTGTGACCACCACGAACAACAGAGCCTTCCTGACAGCCAATTAAGTCACAAGCTGAGGCTGGGTTTGGGTCGGTGCAGTGAGCATTTGCCATTGTATGAGAGAGAGGAAACCTACTGGCATAATGGTCAGCAGTTCAAAACTACCAGCCTCTCCTCTGGAGAAAGAGGAAGCTGCCTGTTCCCATAAAGATTTGTAACCTCAGGAGCCCTCAGGGGCAGATCCACTCTGTCCTGTAGAGTCGCTGTGAGCCAGAATTTATTTGATGGTAGTGGCTTTGTGCGCCAGATGTGGTCTGGCTGCTGAGGTGGCAGGTGGCTAAGACCCGGTCCTCAGGGAGGTAGGGGTAAGGAAGCAGGCCCAGAGAGGTGCCATGCTTTGCCTGGGATCACAGGGCTCCCAAAGGGCAGAGGCAGGACTGGAACCTGGGCACATGGCAACAGGCTCTTAGCCACTCCTTTCAAAGGCTTATACTGCCGGGGTATGGGGCAGGACAAACTAAGGGGGGGACTAGCAGAGTGGATGTTCAGTGTTTGTTGAACGACTAACAGAAACTGGCAGAGGCGGTGGTGAGGTTTTGAGGGGCTGAGCGGAGTTTTCCAGGGAGCGCATCCCCAGGCGAGGGGCAAGCTGTGCACCAAGTGGGTGGATGCCTGAGGAGCTCCGCAGGAGGCCTCTCCCAGTGGAGTCCCCCTCCCTCCCACAGGTCCAGATCCTGCACCTGCTCCTCTGCCGTTCCTTCCAGCTCGCCTACCTCTTGCAGCACCCTGAGGAGCGCGCACCGCCAGAGGCTGGCCTAGGGTCTGTGGAGGACGTGCCCCGGAAGCCCGTGCCCAGCCCTGGGGGCGCCCCTGGCCTGGCACGGGAGCCCTTCGGCCGTGATCAGCTCTCCCAGAACGTCCATGCCCTGGTCTCCTTCCGGCGGCTGCCTGCAGAGGGGCCAGGAGGCAGTGGGGTACGAAGCACCCCAGCCAGAGAGTGGGCGGTGGGCAGGGGCCCTGGGCCAGATGCTGGGGAGTCCTTAAGGGGCATACAGGGCCCTGGACTTGGAGGGTGGGGACGTCACGTGGCCGAGCCCTAGCCTGGCCACCCCTCTCATGACTCTTGGTGCTCTAGAGGGAGCTGCTGGATCTGGAAGGCCGAGGGGGCACCCGCCACGCTCGCCTGGGGAACCCCTACTGCTCCCCCACCTTGGTACGCAAGAAGGCCATCCGCAGTAAAGTGATCCGCTCAGGGGCCTATCGCGGCTGCACCTATGAGACGCAGCTGCAGCTGTCGGCACGGGAGGCCTGTGAGTGGTCGTGCAGGGCCGCAGCAGGGAGGAGGCTGCTTGATGGGGGAATGCAGCCTCCCTCCTGCTGACCCCGCCCTGGGTGGTCTCCTTAGTCCCTGCTGCGTGGGAGGCGTGGCCCCGAGGACCCAGTGGCCCTGCGTGCCTGGTGGAGAGCGAGGGCAGCTTGACTGAAAACATCTGGGCCTTTGCTGGCATCTCCAGGTGAGAGGGACCTGGCTGGCCAGGTGCCTAGCTCCTTAGGTGGTTGGACGGGCTATGGTCGCCATCTACCCATCCCCCCCGCCCCCCCCAAAGGCCCTGAAGTGCACATGCAGGCCAAAGAAGTCTTGCGATGGGCCTCACCTTCCTCCAGCATGAACGGAGGATACTAAAGGGCTGGGGGATGCACCAAACGGTGCGAAGCCCTCAGTACCTGGCCTGTTACAGGCCGCACCTGTGCGGTGCAGGGTGTGTGTGTGTGTGTGTGTCCATGGTCGCTTGGCACTTGGGTCTGCAGTCTGAGCCCAGACAAGGGGTCACTCCTCAGCTTCAATCCTCTGCCCGCCCAGGTCCTGCGGCCTCACCCTGCTGCGGAGGGACGTGTTGGGGGCCTTCCTGCTGTGGCCCGAGCCAGGCACCGCGGGCCAGTGGCGTCTGTCGGTGCGGACACAGTGTGGCGTGGTGCCACACCAGGTCTTCAGGAACCCTCTGGGCCGCTACTGTGTGGAGGTAAGAGTGGGGCTGCCTTTGGCTGGCCCCCTGCCCCTGCAGCCCCTCCCTTGTCTACCCGTGAGGAGCAGTAGTGGTGGTGTGGTTAGGCTTTGGGCTGCTAACGACAAGGTCAGCAGCTTGAAATCACCACTCTCTCCGTGGGACAAAGGTAAGGCTTTCTACTCCAGGAAAGAGCTACAGTCTCGGAAACACGCTGGGGCAGTTCTACCCTGTCCTCAGAGGGCTCCTGAGTCCCAGTGAGTGTCTAAGCGCAGAGGTCTTGAGCCTGCCTCCTGGGAGGCCTCATTGGCTCTTCCTGGTTCTGCCCCTTACTAGATTCCAACACCCGGTTCTGGGTCATTGTGTCTGTTTGGTCCCGCCTCCACTGGCTCTGCCCTGGCTTCCAGGCAAGCTGGGTGCTGGTCTGCCCTGGCTTCCAGGCAAGCTGAGTGCTGCTGCGGGGAGGGGTCATCAGAGAGTCTGGAGCCAGGGACCAGGCCTTTGCACACCCTAGCCTAACTTTTGGGAGAGGTGGAAACTGACTCAGAGAAGTCAAGAGCTTGCCCAGGCCCACACAGTCTCTGACCAGGTCTGGAGTCACTGGATCACAGGCTTTAAGGGACTGGGCTGGGAGGGGGCTGGGGGAATGGTGTCTGTCTGGCTGCTGTGAGCTACCCTCAAATGAATCAGGATTGTGGGAGCGGGTGGCATACACCTGGCCTAAGCTTGGGGGAGGTGGGAGCTGGCAGTGAAGCCCCTCTTACCCTGTCTCCCCACCCAGCACCTGCCTACCGAGTTCCCCAGCCTGGAGGCCCTGGTGGAACACCACTCAGGCACGGAGCGCAGCCTCTTCTGCTCCCTGGACATGGGTCACCTGAACCCTGGCTACGAGGAGCAGGACTGTGGGCCGGAGGGCAGGCCACCCAGGACGCTCCGGCCCCTGAGCCATGCCAAGTCAGAGGCAGAGTTGCAGGGCCTGGGCTAGACTGACCCATGCCCCCAGGCCCTGCTGGGCCCCAGCTCCTGGGCCTCAGCTGGCCACTTGACCTTCTACCCTGCTGGTTGGTCACCAGTCCCACCTGGCTCCTCAGCCCCTGGGCCATTCTTTCGTCACTCCAGTGCCTGTGGGATGGGACCCCAGAGATTCGGAGAGCTTCCAGGAGGGCCATGGGACTGCGTGACTGGATGCTGTCCTCTCTGAGCTCCCACGGATCCCTTGAGGTGGGCCGGAAGGGATTTGCCCTGTGGAAGGGTAGTCAGCCTTAGGGCCCTGGGTGAGGAAGCCAGACAGGGAGGAAGAGGTGCCTGGGAAGCAGGGATGAGTCCTCACTGGGGGCCAAGGCCTGGGTGTGAGTCAGCACCCCCCACTCCTTGCCCCCAAGAGAACAGAACTGACTCAGTGGAGCGTGTAGGTGTGGAGGCTGGGCTGACAGTCTGCTTCCCTGTTTGCCTGGGGCTCAAGGGCTCTTACCTTGCATTCCAAGAATGGGGGGCTGGGAAGGTATAGAAAGGGCACGATGGACCAAGAGCTGTGCCCCCTGAAGCCTGGGCAGGGCTTAACCCTGCATGCAGAGAGACCCAGAGCCAAGTCCTGTTTAAGAAGGCCGGCTTGTCCCCCCGCCCCTTCAGAACACACAGCACTGAGTCAGGCCTTCTCCTCTCAGTTCTCGTCCCCTCCCTCATATTCCCAGGAATCACCCAGACCTCCCCACCCCAGGGGCTCATTTCCTTAGGTCATTGGGCTGGGAGGGGAAGTGGCTAGCCACAGGGTTAAGGGATGACCGGGGCCCAGGCCCTTGCTTAGAGCATTCTGGGGTTTGGAGGCTGCCTTAGGAAGCCCCCAGTGTGGGTATTCCCTGACCATGGTGGCAGGGCCACCTGGTTGGGCCAGCTCGCTTTCCCTTCCTGGAAGGTAGCGTATGAACAGAACCAGCCACGTGCGGATCTGGTGTGTGGGCCCTACCTAGGAGCTGGGGGCGGGGATGGGATGGGAGGTAGAGTCCCCATGGAGAGTGGGCCCAGGGAACTGGCTCTAGTCTTCAGGCAGTGGCCCCGACAAACCTAGGCATCAACTCCACAGACAAACCCGAAGCTTCTGAATTTGGGACCAGCCCATTTCAGAACTTCTGGGAGTTGGTTATGTGTTGGACTGCTAACTACAAGGTCAGCAGTTCAAAGCCACCAGCCACTCCTGGAGAAAGATGAGGCTTTCTACTCCGGCACAGACTTAAGTCTCCTCGGAAACCCTGCCCTATGGGGTTGCTAAGAATCAAGTGACTCCGTGGCAGTGAGTTGAATCCCGAGGCCGAGGCTTAGTCCTGAGACAGGGTGGGACGGATTGTCACTGCCTTCAAACCAGCAGGTTCCGTAGTCTTGGGAGGAACAGAACAGGGAGCAGAGGTGGAGTTGGGAAGTGGGAAGGCAGGATCCCAGCAGACTCGGGCAGGGGGTGCCCAGCCTGTAACTCCCATCCAGAATGTGATCTTAGATAAGCACCTTTCCTGCCAGGCAAGTGAGTCATAGTCCCAAGGGAGAGGAGGAAGCTGTCCTGTTGGGGCGGGGTGGGGCTAATAGTCAGTGTGCTTAGGGGCCAGGACTAGGATGTCATCGTGTCTGCTGAGCCCATCTCCCTGGCCCAAGTCCAGGCCCCAGACGCACTTTCCCCTAATGATTCAGTGCCCCAGGTTACACCGAGGATGGGCACTTAAGAACAAACACCTTATAACTGGGCAGGCTAGGTCCAAAGCTAACCTCAACGGGGGTGGGGGTGGTTTTGTTGCCTCCAGAATCCTGCACACAAGGTTCCTTCTTGGGTGCTGTCACATCAGATCTGATCTGGCCCCCAAGGTGTCTGTGATCTCTGTGGGAGCAGGTCACCAGTTCTTTTCTAGCAGAGTGGTGCATTGAAACATTGGAACCCACGAGTGCTTAACAGCTGTGCCACCAGAGCCCCTTGCTAAGGTGTCGGGATACGAGCACACTGAAGAGACCAGCCTTCCCCAAGCACTTGCACATGGTTTGAAACCACGGGTCAGGTCGAGCACACAATGCAAAAGTGCCCCGTGCCTCCAGTGTAGGTCACAGGTGTGGCTGTTCACACCAGCTCCGCTGGGTCCCTCATCCTCCTGGCTCTGGACTTGAAACAAATAAAAAGGCATTCCTTCCCATTGTCTGGCACAGACTGTTCCTTTGAAAGGCGAGGTCTTTGTTGAGCTTGCCCGGTTTGTTTTTTTGTGGTTTTTTTTTTTTTTTTGTCAAGCCTTCTTTCAGCTGGGGCTGGGGAGCCAGGCATGGCCTGGTGCCCTGACAGACTCTAGATGTGCTTATTCCTCTTCGTTTAAAACCTTAGGGCATGTTCCCTAAGGAAGACTCAGATCCTCATGTTCTGGCGGCTCTCCCACCCTCCACCTGGTTGGTTAACA